TCTGTGTGTGTGTGTGTGTGTGTGTGTGTGTGTGTGTGTGTTACCAAGACCCCCCGAAATGAACATGAGCCCCTGTGCCTTACTGCAAAGCCAGCACATGCGTATCCATTGTCATGGTTTATGTTAGTAAGCCTGTGCTGCTCTGTGTTTACGCGAACACATACTCAATGCCTTCTCCTCTGTGTATGCACATTGTGTGTTTGCGTATGCGTTTTGTGGGTGGGTGTGTGTATGTGAGAGAGAGATCGTGTGTGTGAGTGTGAGTGTGTGTGTGTGTGTGTGTGTGTGTGTGTGTGTAAGGGCAATGTGCTTGACTGCGGACTCCTCAGAGGTTAGCAAGTCAGCAGGAGAGGTTCTGCGTCACCAACACAATCAGCAGAGAGTCTTTACATTGGGACCAGAGTTTCCACCATTATCTGGCCCAAGTGTCTCGGGACTGGAACACACTGTAGAGCTGCAGTCATGGTCCAATTGCATGCAAGACAAACAAGAATCCCATGACTGCAGGCATCTGTAATTCTTGGCTATGCAATGCCAAATGATTTAAAGTGAGAAAATTGCACATGACAACAGGGCCCAAATTGGGACCCCAAGCAAAATTTTACTTGGACGCCCAGCCACCCCGCAATCGTCACTATTACTACCACGACAACTTCGACACCTATAGTAACCATTAGTACAACAGAAACCTACATTGAAAGGATATAAATTGAGAAGCAATGTTGAAGACAAGTGAGTGGAAAGAGACGTCTCGCTGTGTAAATGCGGGTCAGATGATCGTTCAGATGTGGCATCTCCTCATTGCCACAATCGTTGCCTCTTTCCATGATCAAATGGTGCAAATTTGGCTACCTCATAGGAGTTCGTATGCGCAATGCATGCGCACCTCCAGACGCATTGCGCAGATCCCCACATCCAGTTCACTTTTGCTTCCCCTTGCTCAAAATGCAACCGCCTACAGAGGATGAGGCCCTCTGCACCATGCGTGCGCTGCGTTTAGGGAGGGGCGGTCCTGCATGACAATACACATATACAAGTGACCCAAGTTCTGAGTTGTGTGCATATAATACAATATTTGGATGACTTTTTTGGGGGGTTACCTTACAGCAAGAAGCACTTCTGCAGAAAATGAACAGTTCTTCAAAAAGGAGGCTTCAAGCTGACTATTGACACTCTCAGTTATTGTGTGGTGTGAAACTCAACATAAAAACAAAGAGAACTATGTAATTAAAAGAAGCATATAGCTTTGCCTTCATAAAGCATTTGGCTTAATGTTAAGAAACAATGAAAACCCCCATAGATGTTGAACGAATAGGATTGGTGTCGCAGCATGAAAACGGATTTGGCCACGCATGCGCACCTCCAGACGCATTGCGCAGATCCCCACATCCACTGCACATTTGCGTCCCCTTGCTCAAAATGCAACCGCCTACAGAGGATGAGGCCCTCTGCACCATGCGTGCGCTGCGTTTAGGGAGGGGCGGTCCTGCATGACAATACACATATACAAGTGACCCAAGTTCTGAGTTGTGTGCATATAATACAATATTTGGATGACTTTTTTGGGGGGTTACCTTACAGCAAGAAGCACTTCTGCAGAAAATGAACAGTTCTTCAAAAAGGAGGCTTCAAGCTGACTATTGACACTCTCAGTTATTGTGTGGTGTGAAACTCAACATAAAAACAAAGAGAACTATGTAATTAAAAGAAGCATATAGCTTTGCCTTCATAAAGCATTTGGCTTAATGTTAAGAAACAATAAAAAACCCCATAGATGTTGAACGAATAAGATTGGTGTCGCAGCATGATAACGAATTTGGCCATGCAACCGCCTACAGAGGATGAGGCCCTCTGCACCATGCGTGCGCTGCGTTTAGGGAGGGGCGGACCTGCATGACAATACAGATATACAAGTGACCCAAGTTCTGAGTTGTGCGCATATAATACAATATTTCGATGACTTTTTTTGGGTTTAACTGACAGCAAGCAGCACTTCTGCAGAAAATGAACAGTTCTTCAAAAAGGAGGCTTCAAGCTGACTATTGACACTCTCAGTTATTGTGTGGTGTGAAACTCAACATAAAAACAAAGAGAACTATGTAATTAAAAGAAGCATATAGCTTTGCCTTCATAAAGCATTTGGCTTAATGTTAAGAAACAATAAAAAACCCCATAGATGTTGAACGAATAAGATTGGTGTCGCAGCATGATAACGAATTTGGCCATCAACTGTGAAGCAACACACACAGACAATACAACAATACTCACAGGCATATATTTTTTTATCCTCTGCACAGAATAACTTACATTTTACTGAAATCTTACATAATCTATTCCATATAAGTGTCACAAAAAATAAATGTAGTTAGTCATTAAAAAAAACGGTGAATTCTATATTTGTCATCTTTCACCAAATATTTAAAACAAAATATTTCCATCACTCATTCATTATCTGAAGCGCTTATTTCTCATGAGGGTTCCGGGTGTGCTGGAGCCTATCCCAGCTGACTTTGGGCAAACAAAATATTTTTTATCACTAAAGAAACTAATAAACACATTTGGGTATATTTATTTTAAAAATTATTTTTAACATAAAAACAAAGAGAACTATGTAATTAAAAGAAGCATATAGCTTTGCCTTCATAAAGCATTTGGCTTAATGTTAAGAAACAATAAAAAACCCCATAGATGTTGAACGAATAAGATTGGTGTCGCAGCATGATAACGAATTTGGCCATCAACTGTGAAGCAACACACACAGACAATACAACAATACTCACAGGCATATATTTTTTTATCCTCTGCACAGAATAACTTACATTTTACTGAAATCTTACATAATCTATTCCATATAAGTGTCACAAAAAATAAATGTAGTTTGTCATTAAAAAAAAAACTGAATTCTATATTTGTCATCTTTCACCAAATATTTAAAACAAAATATTTCCATCACTCATTCATTATCTGAAGCGCTTATTTCTCATGAGGGTTCCGGGTGTGCTGGAGCCTATCCCAGCTGACTTTGGGCAAACAAAATATTTTTTATCACTAACACGCAGTTAATGCATTTACGACATAAAAGTAAAGGGAAAAGCGGTATTTAATCCCCCAAAAGCCACAAAAATAAGTATTAATGACATGAATTTTGTGACATTATCAAATTTGATCCATTCAATGAAAAAAATCGATTAAATTATACAAATTAAATGTAATTTTACAAACTTTATTCGGAAACCTATAGTAAAATAAATAAATAAATAAATAAATAAATATATATTAAGGAAACAAATTATGTAATTAATAATTACATACAATTAAAGACACATTCGAGTCGATTTATGAAAAAACCAACTATGGAATCCATTACATTAAACTAAACTTTTACAGTTTCTTTTTTTAAGCAACATAAACGGCTACCCTCAGCAAAACTGTAATTTGTCAGGATCATGCAATTGATTTTTGCCCAATTTCAGTGCGCTTACATCGCATGTATTTTACATAATCTAAACATGTTAGTTAACTATGAGTAATGTTGCATTTTTACCCATACAAATTCCTTCAAAATGTAACTGAAATAATTTAATACTATGAATAAATGAAATGATTAATAACAGAACAGAACAGAACCATAGCGCTTATTGGAAACTGCACTTTTTAAGTTTGAAAACAGTCAAATTCAGGTAATTCGATTTTCTGCTAATTGGTCAATGTTTCATCATCAGAATTGAAGCCCAAGCAGGAAGTGGAGTCAAATTTAGATTGATCCACATAATTAGCATTCCAAACTGTCATGCAAAGCATTTAATGGCAATGGTGTGAGTTTACCATGTGCAGGAGCAGATATATATATATATATATATATAAATTAAGGAAACAAATTATTTAATTAATAATTACATACAATTAAAAACACATTCGAGTCGATTTATGAAAAAAACAACAACTATGGAATCCATTACATTAAATTAAACTTTGACAGTTTCTTTTTTTAAGCAACATAAACGGCTCCCCTCAGCAAAACTGTAATTTGTCATGATCATGCAATTGATTTTTGCCCAATTTCAGTGCGCTTACATCGCATGTATTTTACATAATCTAAACATGTTAGTTAACTATGAGTAATGTTGCATTTTTGCCCATACAAATTCCTTTAAAATTTAACTGAAATAATTTAATATTTTGAAGAAAATGAAATGACTAATAACAGAACAGAACAGAACCATAGTGCTTATTGGAAACTGCACTTTTTAAGTTTGTAAACAGTCAAATTCAGGTAATTCTATTTTCTGCTAATTGGTCAATGTTTCATCATCAGAATTGAAGCCCAAGCAGGAAGTGGAGTCAAATTTAGATTGATCCACCTAATTAGCATTCCAAACTGTCATGCAAAGCATTTAATGGCAATGGTGTGAGTTTACCATGTGCAGGAGCAGGTAGATGGACTCTCTGTTTTTGCTCTCCACGTTTTGTCCCATCTGAAGCAGGGCAGAGGATGCTAGCTGTGCGCATAGAAGGGAAAGAAACATGCACATTCAAGCACAAAAAGTTGTTAATTTGCCGACTGATTTTGAACGATCAACCACAAAATGGCTGAGGTTCAACCTCATCCACAAAATGGCTGCGGATTAATTCCAAATGCAGCTATGTTATTGCTCTTGCCTCTACTGAGCATAATTTCAAACCAATTTTCTGAAAAATCCAAGAGATAACTTGCACTTTGACAGTTTCTTTTTTTAAGCAACATAAACGGCTCCCCTCAGCAAAACTGTAATTTGTCATGATCATGCAATTGATTTTTGCCCAATTTCAGTGCGCTTACATCGCATGTATTTTACATAATCTAAACATGTTAGTTAACTATGAGTAATGTTGCATTTTTGCCCATACAAATTCCTTTAAAATTTAACTGAAATAATTTAATATTTTGAAGAAAATGAAATGACTAATAACAGAACAGAACAGAACCATAGTGCTTATTGGAAACTGCACTTTTTAAGTTTGTAAACAGTCAAATTCAGGTAATTCTATTTTCTGCTAATTGGTCAATGTTTCATCATCAGAATTGAAGCCCAAGCAGGAAGTGGAGTCAAATTTAGATTGATCCACCTAATTAGCATTCCAAACTGTCATGCAAAGCATTTAATGGCAATGGTGTGAGTTTACCATGTGCAGGAGCAGGTAGATGGACTCTCTGTTTTTGCTCTCCACGTTTTGTCCCATCTGAAGCAGGGCAGAGGATGCTAGCTGTGCGCATAGAAGGGAAAGAAACATGCACATTCAAGCACAAAAAGTTGTTAATTTGCCGACTGATTTTGAACGATCAACCACAAAATGGCTGAGGTTCAACCTCATCCACAAAATGGCTGCGGTTTAATTCCAAATGCAGCGATGTTATTGCTCTTGCCTCCACCGAGCATAATTTCAAACCAATTTTCTGAAAAATCCAAGAGATAACTTGCGGCCTTGTCAAAGCAAGTTCACCTGTAAAGCAAGAACTCACTTGATTTTGAACCGTCAGCCACAAAATGGCTGTGGTTCAACCTCAAACGCGGCATGTTGTTTTTCCCGTCTGTACCAATCACAATTTGGAACCAATCTTCTGAATTGTTCCGGGGATTATTGATGACCTCTTTCCAAGTAGGATCCCAGATGATTTTGAGTCAAAGCAAGAGCTCAGTTTTGCATGATCAATCGACCACAAAATGGCAGACCCCATCTTACTTAAAACTATCGGAATACTCTGGTCTTCCCAAAGCAAGATTAATCTTGATTTTGGTTCAAACCGAGAACCAGTTTGTCCAAACCAGTCTGCTGGAAAGTGCCAGGGGATTATTTGTGACTTCATCGATGTCGATTTTTCCACCCGGATAATTTGTGATCGGTTTCAAAAGCTAAAATGGAAATGAAAAACCCTGGAAAGGTTTTGTGGAGCACTCACCAGGAGAAACTCTTTGAGGTGCTGCTCTATGTTCTTGTTCTGCACCGTCAACATGGCGGAAGCCACCTGGTTGATGGCCAGTGCCAAACAGTGGATGTTGTTGTTGTGGCCTGATGGAAACAAACATGCAATGAACAACACACACAAAAGTCAGTGTTGATTCCACAAGAGTGTGGGTGAGCGCATGAGTGAACCGTGAGCGTGCGAGTGCGTGACGTACAGTCAGCGGAACCCAAAAGAGGATGTTTTTGTAGGCCGTCAATTAGCGCGGCTTTGTTAACCAGCCGTTAAGTTTAAGAGGAAGCATGGAAAGTGGAGGCAAAGCAGATAACATGGCGCGCTTTGATAACGCCATTACCGCGGACTCTGCGGCAAATAGTTTGGGGTCCAGACACGCCATCAGCAGCAGGAGCAGCAGCGACTGTGTCAATGCACGTCAGTAAACAAAAAGTCTCAACACAAAACACGTGTTTCGCATTAGCCCCAGACATACTTGAGAGCGGAAAGTATGACACGCCTGCTGTTCTCAGGGTGAGATGCCTTGTTTACGCACGCACTCCAGGACACGCTATTAGGTGCACTCGAATATTCAAGTCAGTGACCCGGTGGAAAGACGGCACCAATATGGTATGTGAAAAAAACTGTCTTTCTTTTTTTTTTTTCGAGGACAGCGGTGACTACAGTGGACAGCTTACCGTGTTATCAGGTTACAGGGTGCACGAAAGGGTTAAGTTGAATTTTGAAGGAAATAGTCAATGTGAGAAAAAAGTGGTTGTGCTATGAGAATAAAGCTGCCTTTTTACCAAAAAAACAAAAACAAACAAAAAAATCTGAATATTGTCATAAGCATTCATGTCACTCGATTAAAGTTGTACTAAAATACAATTGAAATTAAAATAAATACATTTCAGAGAACCCCCCGCCCCCAAAAAAAATCAACATTACATCTTTTCCTCGGGAGGTTTTTACAATCAGTTGAACCCTCCAACAAAAAGAAAAAGTGCTACTGTTAGCCCATCAAAGTTGTATTTTTAATAGAATGAAGTGGTGATGTTAAATTGGGAATAAAAACATGTAATTTTTTATTTATTTATTTTTTTTTGCAAAAATTAAATGTTTACAAGTCACACTGTCAAGAGAAGTCATAACATGACAAACACATTCGTAAGAACAAAATTGTAACGTTATTACTAAATTATCAGAATAGTACAAAAATAAATAGGAGTTGTCCAAAAAAAGGGAGTATTTAACGAAATTTTCATTTTTAAGTGGGGAGAAGTTTGTCATTTTCCCTTTCTTATATTGCTACAACACCCAGTTAAAACATTTTGTTTAAAAAAAAACAAAAAAAAAAACTTTTTTTTCATTAATTGGGGAAAAGACGTAATTTATCCATTTTTATGTACCTAAATAATATAACTGAGCATTTTTAAAACCAAATGTTAATTTTTTGAATAGGGGCAGAAGTCGGAAGATTCCTCTTACGTAGCTAAATAATGTAACTGAGATTATATATATATATTTTTTTTAACATAATGTCCATTTTCAAGTGGGAACCACCTATATATAATTTTACCCTTCATTTACACAGCTAAAAAACAACGATGAGAGTTTTCATTTCTTTTCCTGAAATGTTCATTTATAAGTGGGGGAGAAAAGTCCTGATTTTGCCCTTGCTATGTAGCTAAATAACATATTATTATTCTCCTTTTACCTTGAGCATGGTAGTTACTGGTACGTTATTATCACATCGGCTGTCAAGAATTTAATTCCTGGCTGAAGTGTGATGATGCAGCTGAATCCATTGAATGTATTGGTTCACGATGGCTGATGAATGTCAGGTTGAGGGTTGTGTGAACACTTGATCTTGTCAGGGAGTCACGATTAAATGTAACAAACGCGCACCTCCGTGCTCTCGGCTGTAGCAAGAGTTGGGATCCAGGGCCAAATTCGGCAGGGACACTGCGATGAAGACCAGCAGCAAGCACGACAGCTTGTACTCCTCCTCGATGGACATGTTATCTATATATGGATGTAATATTGTTTTTAGAAAACATTCATGAGTTCAAACGCTTTTTTTGGGCATCATAACTATCACGTATATTTTTACGGTCACCTGTCTGCATGCTTCTGATAGCGGAGACAAGCGCCGGATCCACGTCGCAGCTCATTCCTGCAGCGGACGCCATTTCGAACACGCTAAGCGTCACCTGGAAACATGTTCAGCCAGTGATTCTCAAATTGTGATATGGGTGTCACCAGTAGTGAAAGAATAATTGCCAAAGTACGGTTCAGTGTATCTAACTTTGAAGTTAAATATCATTGCATGTAATCTTGAAGAGCAGTTTGGTTTTGAATATTCATTTCGGTACAATTTTTACTACGCTAGTGATTTTGAATGTCATTCATGATGGTGGTAACAGTGCTGAATAGTTTCCTTTGATGTGGTACTTGGTGTATAAAGTTTTAAGAACCATTTCGATAATACATTCCACAATCCAGATCAACTATGACACATGAAACTAAAAAGCTTCACAACAGGCCACGTGACATCACACCCTTTGTACTGGTGGCCGGAGTGTCTACGGGGCGGTTTAACATGTGCACTAAATACAGTCAAACCCTCCTACTCATGATTCATTTTGAGCAAATTTCACCTATTTGCATTTTGTTTTTCTGTCGCAGCACAACTATTCGCTGAAAACGTCACCATCCGCATTTTAATGAGTATTAACTCACAACATGACTGGACCAAAATCGGATTATTGCACGGTACAAATTAGTCAATCAGAATAAGTTACATAGCACTATAGCATTTTATTTGGAAAACAAAAAAAAGTCGGGTTAATTATATTAGTATATGTGGGGAAAAAAATGAGTGGATCAAAATTATATACTGTACTTGCAAGAGAAAAATCATTAAAAAAAATGAAGTGAGAAAAAAGTGATGTTACATGATTTCACGATTACAGACATATTTATACATGATTAAAGCTGTAATGTGACGAAACAAAACTCAATGTTTTGTGACTATAAAAATCATCAAAGGTCCCGTTCGTCTTATTTTCAACAGGAGGAAGTTGCAATGCCACGAGAAAAGAAGGTCATCGTGTTCTGAGATTAAAGTCAAATGTTCACAAGAATAAAGTCAAAACATAACAAAAAAGTAGCAATTTTCCAAGATTAAAGGACGATGTGCACATTTCACATTGTTCATCTTTTAATTGGAACCGTACTGAGCCCACTGGATTTCTCACAATAAACTAAACAAGGAGAAGCAAATGTTTGATTAAAGCGAACTGAAGGGTGAAGGTTGGTATTGCCCTACTTGCACTGACATGGTGTTTCCGCTGATGTGGTCTCTCTCACGGCGGGAGGAGGGTGGTGGGACGCGGCGGGGAGGGGGGCTGCTGACGTCTTTGGGGTTATCCTGGTCTGAGCTGTGGCACGGCTGTCATGCCTCACTCAGGGACCAGACGTAAGCAAAACGGGGGGGCCGTGGGCCTTGCCGTGTCATGTTCACATAAGAGTGCTCCGCCGGGAGATAAAGAATTTAATTTGGTGGGTAACTGCGGGCAAACATTTGTTGTCCCCCCCCACCCCTCGGTAACGTCCACACTGTCCTCTCATTTCAACAAACACACCGCACGCTTTCTGCTACATGTTTAACCTTTTGATTAAATTCCCCGTAGGCTGTCATGTAATTACACAGTGATAAATGTCAATACATGGCACGCATGTATCCACTTGGGACCGTTTCCATGAGGTAACATAATGTGACAAGTCGTACTCGTAGTGGTACCTTGATGTCCGTGTCAGGAGAGACGCAGTCCTTCAAGCACTCGATGGGCCCCATCAGGAAAGGGCAATGCTTCTCCAACACCTGTATTGTGTGTGGGTGACACATTCAGAATCCAAAGTTAGTGAAATAAATGTTCTTATTAATTTATTTTTGGGGTTGAAATGATCAAATACATCGATGTATCATCTGTAAACAAGAAACTGAAAAAATATCAGCTTTGTAAAGATGATATATAGATATTAATGATATTAATGACATTGAATGAATTCCACCCATATATATATATATATTTAAAGCAAAAAATGAAGTCAAAAATATTTGAACATGGACATAAATATTTTCATTTATTAAAAAAAAATCGAAATAAAAATAACTGCTTTTGGCCGCGACCGCTGCAAGCTTTACTCTACCGCTTGCTCAACAACAACTGAGATCGGCTCCAGCACGCCCACGACCCAAGTGAGGATCAGCAGTTCGTTGAATGAATGAATAATGTAAAATGTGATAAATACTGTGAGAAAAAATATAAATTACAGTTAAATAAATTACATCATGTTATTAAAACCCTAATATAAAATACAATTAATTTATGAAATACGAAGCAAAAATATCAAAGTGGACTCAGTTAGACATACTATTTGTATCGATCAAATAAATTCATATTGAACATATTGAACTTTTAACATGGACATATGGTACAAATATGTTATTATTTCACAAATAATATTGTAAAATAAACCAATTGCCTTTTAAGAAATAATATAAAATACAGCCAAATAATTTACTTATTTTGAAAAATATTAAATACCAAGTAATATTACAAATTCATAAAAATAATATTTTTTAAAGCAGCGGGAACAAAAGTGGGGTCTTCCCCAAGTTCTTATACTAATGTAAAATAAAATATAAAATGTATGTAAAATACAACTACAGAACAATATTTTAAACTGTAAATAAAACAAATTAGTTGAGTAAACAAAAACTATAATTTACATTATTTTCCTCGCTGGATAGACATTATTGAGCACTTCCACATGATGTTTATAAAAAAAAAAAAACAAACAAAAACATATTTTGAAAAGTCACCTCTTTGAGGCAGTCCTGCGCCATGGATCTGAAGGACAGGATCACTCCGATGATGGTCATCCTCTTCAGCAGGCTGTCTCCTCCTGGTGGTATTGGGAGACACCTTGGCAAACTTGCTTTTGGAAACAGCATGTGACTCATTTCCTGGGATTCTCGCCATCCGCTCAGTTCCATGTAAACACTTTTATATTTGTGGCCACGAGGCAGCTCCTCGTTTAGTACAAATGCACTTCGGCCTTTGCAATGTTGCCCTTGTTCCCCAGTTGAGAAAGGAATGCTTTTATGAGTTTGCGGTGAACCCGCTTTGAGTCGGCGATGTGTCCCAATACCTTTGTCGCACCAAATCGCTCACCTGTCAGCCTCCTCTTGAGATTGGCCATCTCCTCCACCTCCTCAAAGTTGTTCCTCATCTGCACCAGGACGTCCATGTTCTCCACCACCAGTTTCTAATGACAGTAACATCATTATTCTTAATATGTTGCATACAACATTTATTCTAGTAATAGAAATAAAAGTGAAAATAGTAACATTACTACTACTACTACGACTACTATTAATAATAATAAGAATCCCCTCAGTAAATTGTCACTTTACTGTGGTGGAGTAGTTTGTGTGTGTTTCATCATCAAATTTACCGATATGTATCGTGTATGCATGCATTATTTTAGGACCACACGACTGAGTGCTATTTTTCTTAGAAAAGTATGTTGCAATTTTTTTGGGGGAGATGTTTTTTCAGACTTCTGATGTATGGATGGCATTTCTATTCATTTCAATTGGAGAAAATGATGTAGCACCGCTGTAGTTTTAGAACTATTTCGCAGTGTATGTTGTGTAGACGTTAGCGTCAGGCCTACATAACGTTCATATATATATATGTGTGTGTGTGTGTGTGTGTGTATATATATATATACGTGTATATATATATATATGTATATGTGTG